TGCAACCGAGGAGCACGACTCAGGCAGGCAGGCCGCGCAGAGGTGGTCTCGGGCAACATGCAACCGAGAAGCACAACTCAGTCAGGCAGGCCGAGCTGAGGTGGCCTCGGGCAACATGTAACCGAGGAGCTACTTGGCTTGGATCAGCAATCTATTATGCAGTGATGTGCGGACACGGGTGGCCAGGCCATTCTCCGTCTGTGTGGGAGCCCAGGGGACGGTCACTTTCGGGAGTCGTCGGTTTTCGAGATCGAGAAGACCAGCGCTTCAGTATCTGCACCATGCGCCCGTTGGCTGCCACGTCAAGCCATATTTATGGTGGAGTGACGTTTGGTCTGCCTGACGCAACGTGCTTCAAGAGAGGAAAGGTCGCTATTGGCAGGATTTTGCCTATAAGTAGCGTGCAGTTGGTTCCCTGCATGTCTCCTTACGTGCATTTGTTCAGTCACTTCTCTGGACCCCATCGCTTCGTTCCATCGGTCGTCCTACTTCCCTTCTAAAGGTCGGTAAGGACGGCGTCCCCTTCCTCTTCGTCCTCGCCTTCTTCGCCTTCCACCTCTGGTAATGTCGGAGAAAGAACGCTGCCGTTGAGCCCCAACTCGTCATCCGACGAGAAGGCGGCTCGGACCCTCGAAATGCTAATGTGGTCGCACGACCTCGAGTCCACTGTGAGTGAGTCATCGCTCGACAACCTCCGAGGTCGCTATGGCATCCCGGAGGAATTCGTCCTTCTTGACCCCGAGCCAGGGCAACGGGCGTACGACCCAATCCCGAAGGGTTTCGCCTTAACCCTAAATGCCCTTGAGGTCGGGTTACGCCTCCCTCTGCATCCTGTCATCATTTCTTATATCTCGTGGTGGCGTATTTCTCCGTCACAGATGGCGCCGAACTCCTGGCGCTATCTGGTGGCGTTCCTAGGGGAGTGCCACTACGCCAACATTACCCCGACCCGATCTTTTTTTCTTTCCTATTTCCGTCTTTCTAAGGGGTCGGGGGGTTCCTATCTATCCGCCCGGTCGGGCTTCCGGGTTAACGGGGCCCCTTCCAGTAACAAGGGATGGAAGGGGCGTTTCTTTTACGTTTGTTGTGTGAAGGGCTGGAGCTTCAGGCTCCAATGGGCGGCGCGCGTGATCGACAATTTCGCCCTGGCTCTGAACGACGGGGAGCGCAGGGACCTTCAGAGGCTCAAGGAGATTCTTCCAGCTTCCCGAGCCATCCAGAATATAACCGAGCAGTGGCTGGTCGAGGCGGGTCTTAGCCCGATGCCTCAAGGTAGGCCCGTAGGGGGTAGTGTCAAGGTTTTCTAAAAATTATTTTTTGGCATTTTTGACCAATGTCATTGTTCTTGTGCAAAGATGGTGAATCTCATCGCCGTGCGCGGGGGGGCGTGCTTCGTCGGTTGAATCGCCACATCTGCCGGTCGAGCCGAGGATCGGCTTGAAAGAAACGTCGGTGGAACTCGAGGCCGGTCGGCCTCGAAAGAAGGCGAAGACCGGTGTTGAGAAGAAGTCGAACACACCGGCGGCTTAGCCGGGGAGAGCTGTTGCTGTACCGGCGGGACGCAAACGGAGAGGGAGCCTCGGTCGAGGCGAGGCCGGCCCGAGTAGGGAGGGGTCAGGGAAGGCGCCTCGGGAGCCTTCCATTTGCGATTTGTGCCGCCTTCGAGCAGGAACGCAAGACGAGCCTTACCAGGCTCGGGCGATGGGCGAACTCCCAAAGGGCCAACCCTTTGACCCGCTGGTAGCCCGCTGGGCAGGCTTGACCGACGGGGACCGAGTATGGGCCGACGACGATTTGGTGGCCTTGTTCGTCCGTGGTGGGCTTCATCCCGACATGGCTCGGGATATGTATACCTTGCCCTCCGAGGTTCTGCTTGGCAAGTCTGCCAAGTCGCTGTTATGGGTAAGTATCTCGCAATCGGCTCCCTGCCTATACCTGAACGGTGCTGTTCTGACTCCTTCCGTAGGATCAGCACTATGCCATGGCGTTGATAGACCGCGTGCACGATGCGGGTTGGGCCCTCGGCATTTTGAGTGACCGCAATGCGGAGCTGCGTAGGCAGATCGAGGAGGTCCGCGCGGGAGCGGCTCTGTAGGCGGTCGCGACGGCCGAG